AAAACCACTGCACGATATCTCTGTGCACCAAATACTGACGAGATGGCACCGTGTTAAAAAGTCCAAACAGTGTCTGTGAGTTAAAATGGCCGCCATCCATTGTTCTCACCATGTGCTTCTGATACAGGAAATGGTGGCCACCCAGTAACTCCACAGTATGTCCCCAGATGGTTCTTAAAGGGCCAGCAGCAGCACAACACAAATCCATTATGCCCAAATCATTTCTTTAAAGGGCAATACAAACCAGGGGCCATAGTCACAGGGCAAGAGGCGGGCAAGCAGTCCTCTCCAGGCACAAGTGGCGAAGGGCACTTCGTCACACATCTTCCCTTTGGGGGGAAGACTAAACGGGTACCTGACCTTCTGCCGGTCAGTACCTAGATTAGTCGGGCAGCCCACCCACAAAGAAAAATACGCAGAGTAACCCCCCCACAATAAATGGTACTGGTCTGTAGGTTCAAGTTTGTAGTGGGACAGCGCAGCACTCTCGGTCTCCCTGGTGCAGCTAGGCAAACTGCTGGTGTTGCTTGGGGGGCAGAGGCCAGCGGCGCTCTGCCCTGCTGCCAGCTCTTCCACTGGGGTAACCCGTGGTAAGTCAGGCTCTGATACAGGGGAAATGGGGGCAGAGGCTAACAGAGCTCTGCCCAGATGCCAGCTCTTCTGCTGGGAGGGGGTCAGTGGGTATTGCAGGCTCATCCACTGCCCCCAGGACCCGGTTGGGATGTAGCTGGGGAGGGGAAGTTTTGCTTACCTCCTCCTCCTGGCATCCCTGCGGAGTTGGTTGGGGATCTGGACCGCCCGTCCAGCCTCCCTGTAGGACTGGCACAGAGACCGCGGTCCCATCTGTGCCAGTGTGGTTAGGTTTGTCTTCCCCCTCTCCTGGTATCTCTGGCTGCTGTTGGAGGGGGAGGCTGGTTGCCCCCACTCCCCAGGACGCTGGTTGCTGTAAGGTGGAGGAATCGACCATCACCTCCTCCTGGAACTCAGGCAGCCGCTGGGGAGAGAGACCAGTTGTCTCCCCTCCCTGTATATTATACTGCCGCTGGGGACCTGGGCTGAATGCCCAGCATCCCTGTAGGGCTGGCAGAGAGACTTCGGTTCCATCTCCATAGTTGTGGGGCTTAACATCTCCCCTTGGTGAGTTAGGCTGCCGCTGGAGAGAGGGTGTAACAAGCTCCTCTCTCTGAACTGTAGACTGCTGCTGGGGAGAGGGGGTAACCTGCTCCTCTCCCTGACACTCTCTTTGCTGGTGGACAGGGGGACCAACTGTCTCCCCTTTCAATATTTTGTCCTGCGGCTGGGGTGCGAGACAGACGGTCTCTGCTTCCTGGGGTACACACTGCCGCTGGGGAGGAAGGACGACACCTTTGGCTCCTTGGGATACACACTGCCACTGGGGAGGAAGGATGGCACCTTCTGCTCCCTGGGGTACACACTGCCGCTGGGGAGGAAGGATGACACCTTCAGCTCCCTGGGATACACACTGCCGCTGGGGAGGGAGGACGGCACCTTCTGCTCCCTGTGACACACACTGCCGCTGGGGAGGAAGGATGGCACCTTCTGCTCCCTGGGGTACACACTGCCGCTGGGGAGGAAGGACGGCACCTTCTGCTCCCTGGGGTACACACTGCCGCTGGGGAGGAAGGACGGCACCTTCTGCTCCCTGGGGTACACACTGCCGCTGGGGAGGAAGGACGGCACCTTCTGCTCCCTGGGATACACACTGCCGCTGGGGAGGAAGGACGACACCTTCAGCTCCCTGGGATACACACTGCCGCCGGGGAGGAAGGATGGCACCTTCAGCTCCCTGGGGGACACACTGCCGCTGGGGAGAGAGACCGGTTGTCTCTTCCCTCTGTACGGTGCACTGCCGCTGGGAAAGGAGGTCGCTGCTCTCCTCTCCCTGTAACTCACTCTGTCGCTGGAGACGGGGTGTCAATACCACCAAACTCCACAGTTGGTACTCGAAGTTCCGTGCGTCTTGGTTCTCAGCACTCAACATGCGCATCACTTGATTGACCACTTCATCTGAAGGGTTTGGGCCAAACCAGACCAGCCGCGCCTTTAATTCCTTCATGAAATCAGCACCCTCATAGCACTGTGACAGGCGGATTTGCAATTCACTGGCTGCTGTCCAGGGCCTTGCTAGCTCCATGTTGCTGTAGGTAGGGACGCTGCGCAGAGGCTAGCGTTGCCCTCAATTATAAATCCGTAACTCCACACGTTACCGGTGTCTCCGAGCTGCTGGTCCTCGCACTAGGACACCATCCCACCGCTGCCACCAAATGTGACGGAACGCTGGCACTCCGACTGAGTACCTCCGCCAATCGATGCTCCTAGTGCTCGCTGAGGACTCCAAGCACTCCAACCGACACCATCAGCACTGCAGACCCCACTTCCAGCGATGCAACTGCGCCGGGGTCTCTGCTGTTTCCACCCACCCTGGACCCAAGGCCAGGATCCAGCTTCAGTGGGTGAACCTCTCTTTCCCCAGAGAGCAGGAACAGGAACAAATCAAGCTATTGCAAGAGCTTCCTCTGGGGAGTAAGTGATTATAGCAATCCCCAGAGTGTAGGTATCCCTTCCCCCAAACATGAGCCAAGGCTTAATGCTGGAACAAGACTGATTTACTGGCACACAGAACTCACAATTTATGCAACACAAAACTCCTCCTCTGGGTCAGGCTAGATAATTGAGTTTCTACAATACACAAAGCTCAATTATCTGCTGGCCAGAAACATTACAATTTTTACAGCATTCATAACGTCTAAAATATACATCACAGGGACCCCAAAACATGCAATAACCCCATAAAAGTATATCCTTGGAACCGGGGGATCTGGATGAACCACATATCCAAAATTCACCCAGATCCGTTCAGTACTTTGGAAAATACAGTTTAATGCAGAATCTGCAGAACATATACAGGCTAAATGAAAAACAATTACTGTATAATGTGTCCCCTGCTGTATAGTCCAAAACCACTGCACGATGTCTCTGTGCACCAAATACTGGCAAGATGGCACCGTGTTGAAAAGTCCAAACAGTGTCTGTGAGTTAAAATGGCGCCATCCATTGTTCTCACCATGTGCTTCTGATACAGGAAATGGTGGCCACCCAGTAACTCCACAGTATGTCCCCAGATGGTTCTTAAAGGGCCAGCAGCAGCACAACACAAATCCATTATGCCCAAATCATGTCTTTAAAGGGCAATACATCCCAGGGGCCATAGTCACAGGGCAAGAGGCGGGCAAGCAGTCCTCTCCAGGCACAAGTGGCGAAGGGCACTTCGTCACAATATATATAGTGATATATATCTATATACTTATGTATATAGATATATATATTATTTTGTTCTACGTGTATTTTGATATCAATATATATTCATTTTAAAATACAGTTAGAACGAAATTACACATATATATTTTATTTTTTTACGTATTTACATATTTATTTTATATTATATATAACTATATATATATATATTGATAATTATATACATATTTAATCAATATCATTCTACGTGTACTTTGATATTAATATATATAATTATATATATTAATATTAAAATACACTTAGTGTATGTGTATGTATGTATATATATATATACTTAGATCATATATATAATAAATATATAGATGATCTAAGTATATATAATTGAATTTAACACTGTTTTAAACTGTATTTAATTTATTTTTTTTCAGACAGCTGGCAATGCCTTGGACGGCTATGCCGTTCATGTGATCGTGAGGTCCTCGCAAAGACCTCGTGATCACATGGCCCAGGGGGGCCGAAGAGAACGGAGGGGGACTCCCTGGGCTCCCAGGTAAGTCCCCATAACGCGATCGCTGGTGACCGGGTAAGAACCCTGGATGGCGGGGACATGCTATGCCGCCCGCCGGGGTTTAGAGCCGGTTCCCTAAGGACGGCATAGCACGCCCGCCATCCTTAAGGGGTTAAATAGGGTAAAAAAACTTACCTTTACTATAGCACTGCGTGGGTCTGCTGGTACTGTCCATGCCCTGATCCGCCTCCCTGGCTGAGATCATCAGAATTAATTAATCTTAGCCAATCCAATGGCTAATGTACACAGGCGGCAAGAAGCTGCACTGGCCAATCAGCATCTCCCAATGGAGATGCATTGAATCAATGCATCTTTATGGGGAAAGTTCAGTGCCTCCATGCAGAGAGTGGAGATGCTGAATGTCAGTGCTGCACACCCAGGAAATACCCTAGTGGATGTCTGAGTGACTTTTACTGGAGGTGTTCCTAGGCAGTAATGTCTCTGAAAAGGCAATGTTTACATTAAAAAGCCTGAAGGGACAGACTATACACACCAGAATAACTATATTAAGCTGTAGCTGTTCTGGTGACTATGGTGTCCCTTTAACTTTCCAAATACTATATTCAAAGTGATGAGACCAATCACTTTCTAGATGGACTACACTGTATAAAAACTAATACAATGGTTGCACTATTTTCCCTTAAATTAGACATGGCTTAATTTTGAAAAACATGCACCAAAACCAAGAAAATACCATTATTCCAATATATAATATGACATTAGACCACAATTACTTTGTTAATTATACTTTAGTTTGTTGCAGCACAGGATCCCACACGCAATCGGGTACTAAAAGAGTCACTATAAAAGAGTACAAGTAATTTTTTATTGGGCCTGGAGAGACATAAAACGATTATTTTATCATAAATAACTCTATATGAAATGTAACCAATCTTGGTATATTAGCAGAGAAACCCAGAAGGATATATAATGAGCTAAAATAAAATCTTCAACATTTTATTGTCTGCCTTTTGCCAAATAATACACATAATCTTACTTTTATTCAAATTTAATGGACTGAAAATACAACCAAAAAAGGAGCCTTCCCTGCCAATTTTCTTTATTTTATGGCAACTAAACACTCAGTAACATGGAAACCACAACTGGATAGAGAAGCCTTTCCAGGCACAATCTGGCACGCCTCAGCAAAGATCGTCACCACAAGCGAACCATGTGCACAATGCACTTACCCCCATTGTGTACCATCTGTAAATGATGGAATTAAGATGAAGCCGCTATTCTTACACTATTCCTGAAATTTACTTTGCTCAAAGAAAATGTCTCAATCCACATGGACAGTCATATAAAATATAGCATACCTTTTATTCTTACAAAACATTATGTAACTGGAACAAACAGATAGCAGCACTGGATCATAGGACTAAAATGCCCTGCTGCACCTTATCAGAGGCTTCTCAAAGGAAGTGTTGTATACAGCCCTTTAAATCAATTTAAATCCCTGTGACTGATTAATCATGCTCACTTGAGGCGATTCTGAACTTGGTCCCCAAGAAAGGGAGACCCCTATGGTCTGAAAAGTTCCTGAGAGGGTGTCTTTGTTCCTGTATGTCCCCCTGCGGATTGTGATTGGCCCTTGGCTTTTCCAGCTGCCCATTACCAATCCCAGTATGTTTGGCATGCCGGAGCTGCAGCATTTGAGGGAGATTTCCCTGCGAAGCAGCAATCACCCAGTAGATGGTGCTAACAGAGTGCTCTCTCCTGGGTGAGCTACCAAAGTCAGAAGAGGGAATCCTTTGTTAGAGATCGTGTAGGGTACGGGTTAATGTTGTCTTAGAGTTAGAGATAGTGTATTATTAAGGTTAGGGGTGAGAGTAGGGTAAATGTTTA